ACGAATAACGCCACAATTATAAATGTCACCTGAAGACATGCTACCGTCATTGAATGCGTAATTGTACCGTTCGTTCTGCCGTTCTAAAATAGCCAATAACATTTTTTTCTACATATTTACTTCATATTCTCTGAATAGAGTGGGATTAGTTCTGGTTCGTTTAAAAAATATTCCACGCTTTCTTTTAATAGTACGATCAAAATAGAAATCAAATGCATTAAAATACTTTATTTGTAAGATATTTGGTCATTTTATTTAAGGTTCGTCACTTTTGTTGATAAATTCACACTGCTTCAATTCATTTGTATTGTTGTGAGCTTATTTGATTTTAATCTTTTTTCAATAAATTAATATTAATTTTCTATCTACATATGTATGTATCATGATAAAAATATAGTAAGGTAGAACCGCTGAGAGTCACTTTTAAAATTCTTGACGTTTCCAAACAATTTAATTTTTAAATTTACTCACAAACTCACACACACATTTTCATTTTCAATCTCAAGCAACAACAATTTCGAACAATTTCAATTTTTTATTTTCACTTTTATATGATTTTAAAATGTTGGCAAACTTCAAAATAAAATCATGGCCGACAAATTGAGAGAACGGTTCTACCTTGCTATGTTTTTATCATGGTATGTATTAGGTTTTACTAATGCACTATCTGATGGATTTTCTTTTGTGTTAACATTTTCCAAGGCAGGAAGTGTCGTCTAAAATAGAAGCAATTAGCTGTTTGTCCTTTAAAGCTCCATTCACCTCCTCTTCGTCCCATTGCAGCACCACTTTGCACAATCGTGGTTCTTTTTTGCGCATGATTCGCAGTATGCCGCGTGTCTCAACCAACTCAACTAGTCCGGCAAACTCAGCTTGATCCAAAACGTGTATATTGCGCTTAAGACACACGCGTCGATACACTTCGTGCAGTCGTCCAATGGTTATGTCTTTATTGCGTTCTTTACGCAGCATCAACATGAGCGTACATAACGCAATCTTCTGCTGCAGTGGAAACGAGTCTTCTATGTCCTCTTGAAGGTTCTGTGAAGTACCATACACTTTGTTTAACACCTCAGCAACTTGTGTTACTTGTACTGGTTTAAGGATAACTGCCGAAAAAAAAGTAGTTTTGAGTAAGAAATAATATTTTTAAAGAAGCCACCAACTTACCCTCTTCAGTCTTTTCGTCGCTATTATTACCCAAAGCCAAGCTATTAAGATTAACCTGTCGCTGACCTAATTTCATCTGTTGTTCTGCTATTTCAGCCGCTCTTCTGCCAATATCCAGTGCGCGCCGAACGTCACCACTCACCGCACTGACTTTGGCTGCTAAAAGTTGGAGTGTGACTGGCGGAAAGATATCCAGCACGCCAGCTTCTTCTAGCCTTGCCCGAAATATCTCGACTATTTGCTGTTTGGTGTAAGGGGGGAAATGCATATGACGTGGCTTTAGTTCACAACGTGCATTTAAACGCATTAGTGTACGCTCTGTAAGATCGAGACTATTGGCTATGCCTACCAAAAGCAATCGAGCTCCTGGTAGTGAAGGCCACTCGAAAATAGTATAAAGCACCGATTGTTTGGAGCTGCAAAGCTGATCGATTTCGTCCAAAACTATGAGCAGCATGCGACGCGATGTTCGCAAATGATTCTGTACAGCTGCCAAATAATCCCGCTCACTGCGTCCGGAAGGATGAAGTTTTATTTCAGTACACAGCTTCTTATACACTCCATTAATGCTGGCAATGGACGTGCAATTGATGTAAACACATTGCAGTTTTTTGGATAGCTCAGGTGACCTTAAAAGTAAAGAAAGGCAAGCTGTTTTTCCAGTACCAGGTTGTCCAGACACATACAAACTACCAGAACGTTGTTCTTGTAAATGTTCCTGAAAGAATTCTCTTAGCTCTTGCAATTGCTGTTCTCGCCCAGGTAAATTTTGTGTTTCTGCGCTGTTCAAAACACGACGTGCACTTTGGTATTTGTTGCGAGTGGGTGTTTCTACTTTTGCTTCCTCTGCACCAGCGGAAGTATACTCCTCATCTTCATCAGTGTCAGCAGGATTACGTTCATCTATACTCAAACGATCAATTAATCTTGAAGGGCTTATCACCTGAGTCTTTGGTTTCCAACGTGCCTGCTTAGGTGGCGATACATCTTGTTCTCTTTGCCATAATTCGCAATCATCATCACTTTCGTCATTGCATAATTTATGTGATAGGCTAGTGCGTTTTTTGGCCAATCCAGATGTAGTGCTGGACGATGCCGAATGTACTACCTTAGCACGACGTGGTGTCTTCTGTTCCTGGACATTTGTCGTCAACTGATTGCACTTCGTTTGATTTCTATTTTTTTCTTTGCTCATAACGTTGAGAATTTCCGAATTTTCTTTATCTATTTCTGCAAACGTAGGTGATTTTCTATACGTATTCACTTCCTCCTCGTCACTGCTTGTAATGCAATTCTTCGCTTGGCGTCGACGCCACAGCTGTGAAGTGCGAGGTGTTTGAGAACTAATAACTGGAGGTGTACACGTAGATTGGCCAATGCTGCTAAGACGAGTTGAACGGCGCACTGTAGTCATAATTTAAAAAAGCTTTTATAGAAATAATTTAGTAAAATAAACTAAAAGTCAGTCTTCTCAACAAATTCGATGAATTTTACATGCAAACCAAGCATCCGATAATATGGCGCCAAATTACATGACAGCTGTCATCGGAAACCAGCTGTCAATAAGGTTGCCATATAACTCAGCACAGGGTGCATCAAATGATGGCAGTAACTGTAGGCCTTAACGTAGTGCTTTGGTTAACCAGATCTTTACCTACGTATTTGTATTTCTAAATTTCAGTTTTAATTTCGTATTGAATTTTCATAAATTTTTACTTTACTTCTGCTATTGCTCTTTGCATACTGAACTCTTTGCTGCCAACAGCTGCATCAGATTTTCAGAATTACGTAAGCCACTATAAATACAAAACGAACATATCTCCGCATAGAATTCATCTATCCAAAGAGCAAACGAAGGAGAGCAAATTATGAGAGCAATTTCAAATAGACGGATAAATATACTACAAACGAAAAGTATTTTAAAATGGCATATAAAAAAGTTAAAGGCCTTACATAGTACATAACGCACACCGTCGTCAAAAGAGTCACAACTCAAAATTACACGTTTCTCAAAAAATGCGAAAATACGATATATCTTAGCACATGATAATCATATGCGCAAGGGCGACTTTACCTTAGGGTTTTTTTTAACAAATTATAACAAAAATTTGCTCCAGCTTTTGCTGAAAGGTAAATAAAAGCTCTGCGTACATTTTTAGCGCATAATCTCAAAAGTGCCAAATTTTGAGTTGTGACTCTTTTGAAGACGGTGTGCGATATGTACATATTGTTAGAAATTTTATTCTAGAACTCTTCATATACATATTTGATCTTTATGTATATACTTAGATAGATACATAGAATATATTTGTATTTATACATGCTAATGCATGAAAATTAATCTATCGGTACACAAACATATGTGCTTAGATATATTTTTCTACTTCGTAATTTTTTTTTTGCAGGCATTTAATGAAATCGTTCTTTGTACATATGCAGATACATATGTATCTCATATCGCAGAATCAAAGCAATAAGGCCGCAATTCGAAATTTTTTTATTTAGGAAGAGTAAAAGAATTTTAATTTTTTTTTAACTGTTAAACATCTGCTTCATACGTTAGTTATACATAGCAGTTAAATAAAAAAATTAAATGCATATCGCACACCGTCTTTAAAAGGGGAAAAACCAAAAAAAAAAAAAACGTTGGCCGATTTATTTTTTTGCATAAATCAATTTGTAGGTCTTTTCGTATCTGATTTTTGAGTTGAGAAATACGTACATATGTACATAATAGACTCGTCGTACTTTGAAGGGATTTGGCTATATTTCTTTAGTTTATTTTATGCTTAATATTTTTTTATAAAAGCCTAGGTATTTAGTTATACAACAAAAACCATATAGATCCCCTTTTTAAACTTTGAACAAAAATTATAAAAATTTTCACCAAATATTCAAACTTTTTATTCAAAATGTTTGGAAACATTTTTGGTATGCAGTTATGTAGCCCATTTAATTTTAGTATAACAAAGTGCAAGTTTCGATTGGCTACAAAATACTGTTGATTTTTAAGAATTTTTTTTTGCTGACGGTGTCACGCATTTTTTCCCATACAAAGTGTGCTCGACAATTTTTTATTCAAAAATAAAAAAAAAATTGTCAAAAATCAACGGTATTTTCTAACGACTTGAAATTACACTTTATTATACTAGAATTGGATGGGCTACAAAATTGCATATCAAAACTTTTTCTAAAAATTCTGCTTACCAACATTGCATACCATTCCAAGCCAACCATGAGAAGGCGGTCGTTTAATAACGCCCAATTGCCATCCTCCAATAGTAGCGTGAGCATTGGCGTCAAACAAATGCCGCCTACAAACAGCTGTTTTTTTCTGACGAGCTTTCTCATGGGGTCGCTGTGGCTAGAGGTGCAGAGAGGTAGCTCCGCGGTACCAAGGTTCGATCCCTGGTCAAAGAAATATCCCAAGAGAGAAAAGGTCTTTTCACCATTTACCCATTGGAGGAGGCGTACAACTGTGGGTCTCTCTATTTGTGTAATAACGTCACAAATTGGAGGAGAAGTATAAGCTTCAAAATATTATTATTATTATTTCTCATGGGGAATTAAGCTCAAAGACAGGGGCTAGGGTGGAAGATATTTTTTTTCTTTATTCTAAAAATTTCAATAAAATGTTTGTAAGATGTATTCAAATGGAATTAATTAAAATTAACTCAGCACATGCATACATATTTATGTACAGATGTTTCTACATATATTCACCCGCATACATACATTTTTGCACTGTTATCAATAAAACAATAATATAGTGAACAATGGCAATGGCAATGGCAAGCTTTAAAAAATATTAACTTTCTCTTTTAACGCAGCCATACCGAACAACTCCACTGGTTCTGCCTGGTGCTAAAGTCAAGAAGGATGCTCCAACCACAGAATCATACTTGAGGTATCACCCGAATCCGGCTGTGCGCGCTCATCCCGGCCACGACTTCCATGACAGCGTGATGAAGCAACGCGTCGCCGACACCATGTTGCACAAAGTAGTTGGCCAGGATGCCGATACTGGCAGGGTAAGGCCGAAGCCGACTTTACACCTACATACATACATACATAGGTAGCTTGACAACTATTTTGTCGCCTTACAGGTATTCCACAAACAATTCAACTCTCCCATTGGCCTGTATTCAGACAGCAACATCGAGAACACCATCAGACAAACAGTTCCGTAAGTGTTGAATATTTTTTTTTAACACTTTAACTCGAATTATTATCTACATACATACATACTATGTATATTTTGCTATACACAAAGGAATGTTGATATACATTTGAGATTTTATTTTCGATAAATTACTCGTAGCTTAATCAATACAAACACATATATATATATATATATTGTGACGACACATAATGCTTAATTAATTATATCTAATAAATACGAGCTGCAACCAAAGGCTTTTTTTTTGCCCATTTAAGTGGCCATCATTTTGCAGAGCGTAGGCCAATCAATATGTATGTTTGGTATGGCTCATGCTGTCGTCAACAGTATTACAAAAGGGCCCATGTGACATTTTTCGGAAAAATTTTGTTCAAATACATACCGGTCCAAACAGCAAGTTTGCTTCAGAGTTGCATTCCAGCTTTAAGCTTAATTTATTTATATAAAAAAAAAAAAATTGCCTATTAGGTCCTTTTGTTATGTTAACGACGACATTCACCGCCGTTTGCGGGCATAACACGCTTAGCAAATTGCTTTAATTTTTTATATAGTAAACTAGGGTGTTAAATCCATAAATATGAAAATGATACAATTTTCTATACTAAAATTTTTTTTTAACTCTTAAGCGGCTTAGCTCTCTTTTGCAGCGACTATAAAAGTTATGATGTATGTTTGTAGGCTGTTTTTCATATCGGCAAATATTTTAGTTTTATTTTGGAAAACTTCAAACCAAACATATTTTTCGTGGACCCTAGCTTTTGCCTGCGCCAATTTTGCTTATTTTCATAGCTAATTTTGCATATGTCGAGCGAAAGAGTAATCACATGACATTTCAGGACTACAAATAGTACCAAAAAACATCTAGATGGTGTAACAAAATAAAAAATAAAATCCAGTACGGGTTACCAAATTAATTATTTGTTCTCCGATTGAATCCTACTCTCCAGAAGCACTGTAAGGGTTATTACTTCTAGGTGGCACCGTGGTCGATTTTTGAAAATACCTACCAAAAAAAAAGCTTATTTTTGTAATAGTATACCCTTATCCCAACTGTTTAGCACAAACTAATATTTTATTTTGAATCAGAAATATAGGAAAAAATTATTTCAAACTGAATGAGATTTTTGCAAAAAATTTTTATAACTGTGAAAAAATTAAAAGCATTCTTCTTACCAAATTCACCTTGAAATTCAAAATTGGTTTAAGAATAAAGATAAAAATTGATTAAGCCTCGTAAAAATGTTTCTTTTTTATGACTAAGTTGAAAATACTAGGGTGTTAAAAGCAATTTGAATTATTCTGCCAGATGTACGACCTAAACTGGACCACTAAAAATTTAAATTTTCACCATTATGCAGTGTAATTTTTACTCTGAACTTTGGATTCAAAATGTAAATTGACAGATCACCATTTGAAAAAAGTGTAGCTTCCATTCATTGGAGTAGGGTGATTACTTTTTCATCTCCTTGAGAAAATCTGTAAATATGCATTTCCAGCATTTTTTTTAAATTAACCAATAACCAGTTAAGTAGAGATATAAACTATTCCCGTGCCCCTGAACTACATATGTTTGTATGTATGTATTGCTGTGTGTTTTTGGAATGATGTTTCTTATTTATTAGTCGTCGATATAGTTTTTCAATATTTTTAGCAGCAAATTACCAGAGTTGTATTCGTTGTTATGTATAGTTGTTTAGTAGTGAAAATTCGATTGCAGTTTATATCTTGATTGTATCTACATACATACATAAATCCGTATCACTTGAATATTATTCTCTTATATTGTATTTATCTTTATATGTTTTATGTTTTTTTTAACTATGTATAAACATTATTGTTGTTGTTGTTGTTGTAGTGCCAGTACCGAAAGTCCGCGCATAAGGAGTAGTCCTTTGCATCGTCCAATGCCAACAAAACTTGACCGGTAAAAGTAAATTGCAAATAAAGCAGACAGACAGTCAATCAGTCAGTCAGTCAGACAGTCAGTCAATAAATCGATCGACCAACAAATCAAGCAAATAATATCAAGCTATCACAAAGTCACAGCATTATCGATTCTCGAATGGTCATTACCATAAAATCACTTTCTATAATTCATTGATTGATTCCAAAAAAAAAAAAAACAAAAAAAAAATACTATTTACATAAATAATTAGCTATTACCGATCTGATTCGATTTTCTGACCTTTTAAAAGAAATTCAACGCTTTATATAGTACATCCCAAATGCGCTCTGCTATTGTTGTTGTGATATGTAGTTTTTTAAATGTTAATTTTCTGTTTTCGATTCGCCAACCTTATATCAAGTAAATAGCAACTCGAAAAGCATCTACGAAGCTTTGATTTAAACCACCTCTAACGAGCTGAGGAGCTGTAACTATACGCGCTTATGTACCTCTCTGCTCGCTAACACTTTTTTCGTTAAGCTAACTGGGATGATTTCAAGCGAGCAGAGAAATGGCGAATCGAAAAGGGCTACGAGTATAGTAAATTTGTGTACCTAGTGCAGTAGAGTCGTCGGCTTAACTTGACTGCCGCTTAAGAATGATCGCAACTTTTTTGCATACGTGACTTTCAAAAGTGTTTACAATAATTGCTTAACAACTTTGAGATTTCATTCTTATTATTAATTAACATTGACTGTAACGTTAAGAGCGTTAATGCTAATGTATGGCCGTAATTCTCGTGCAAGTAGATAAAGAATAGTGTAGCCGAGTCGGTCGAAGTACCGTTAAAATCATTGTCTCTCAACCGATCCAAATCAGAGAATTTCGCGGTGCGTTCATACATAGAACATACATATGTACAACGATGGTTATTCTCAATTTGGGCTCCAGAAAAGTTCGAAGTAAAGGACAAATTTCATTACAAATTCATCTTCAATATGAAAGCCATTCGCGTCCACACGGCTTTATCAACAAATAATATTTTATGCAAACCCTGCTGCGCTTCAAGAAACACCACATCAACTACAAGAAATTACTACCCAGCAAACATTTGGAGTCATAAATGAGTCTTTAAGGAGTCCTATTTCGGAGCTATTACGCTCATAATGAGCTCATTTAAGAGTCCGATATGAGTGTGTTTCCCTTCCTACGAATGTCGACTTATATGAGCTTAAATTCATACATCAAATGAGCCTCAATATGAGTCATATTGGACTCTTATTGGCCTCATATACGGCTCATTTTGGACTCTTTTAAAACAAGTTTTGGCCTCATATATGACTCTTTTTGAGACCCTTATCGGCCTCATAAATTGCTACATTCGGACTCTTATTTTAGATTGCTCTTTGAGTCTTATTCAACTCACTATATTTGCAAAGGCATTCCGCAAAAAGTCCTTGCAAATAACATACATACATACTTACATGCATATACACATTCCAACATGCATTCAATAGCAGCAGCTGAAGCTAAATTTTGTTCATTTTTTGTTTTCTAATTATTTTCAATTTCTGTATAAACNAAAAGATTCATATAAGAGTAAACAATTTTTTGTTTTTGAAACTCATATTTCTTACCTACCTAGGACACCTTTCGGACTCATATATTCTGAATGCTCAGAATATGTTTGCGGGGTAGAGGGCGTGTTTTTCATGCTAGTAGTGGTGTCGTTGGGCCACTTTTTTTGTTGATGAATATTACCGTTAACGTTGTAACATAATTTCTTTGTTCAACCAGACTGCGTCACAAGCCACACAGCAACGAGAATTAAAGGCCATTGCCATCGGAACCGTGTGATCGGCTCTTTTTATTGTACTTCAACCAAATAAAAATAAATATTCGAGATTGTTAGGGTTGTATTAAAAAAAGTTGTTAAGTTCTTATTGGAAAATGTTTTATCTGCTGCATTCCCCTTCACTCCTTTGTTATGTATTTACATATGGATGTATTTACGTAATTTGTGTATGTCAGTGTTGGCCATGTCTATTTGGAAATTTTAACCAGCGACGTGAACCGGTTTTGATGCGGAAAATCGCTTTTTTCTATAAACTAACTGAATCATTAAACGAACCGAAATTTTCCACAAATGTTTAACCCGAACCGAAAACCGAACTACTTTTCATAAAGGTTTATAGGTTTGTTTCAACCAATTTTCAATAGATAAATTTACAGGTTTTTTTTCTTTTTGTTAAATATAGTAATACATACTATGTTTGTTTACCATGTGACAATATCAAATGTAATGACAACATATCTCATTTGACACTTAAACTTATTTTTATTAATTTTTTTTTTGATTTCCAAACCATTGAACCGAACCGAAACCCCGGCTCAAAGATCAAAAAAATCGCTTTGTGGAACCAATCCAAAAGTGAAAAAACGGTTCGAACCCCTAAACCAAACCAACCAAATTTTTCATGCGGTTCACGTCGCTGCTTTTAACTACTAAACTCGCACTTCATTCCTGTTTCTACGAAAAATGCTTCTTAAATCTTAAATTTGGTTATCTAAATTGCAATTTATTTATTATAATTATTATATGTAAGATTTCTTGAAACAACCGAATACATACATATGTATGTACCTAGTCCTTTCAGACTAAAACCTCGAATTTCTCTCAATGTTTTGCTTGTGTAATAAAACGTCCTTTGCATCCCAAAAACGTTTATGCCACGTTTCATGCATGCCATTGATGTACATGTTTATAAGTATGTATGTATAGACCAAGTGTGTCCAAACTTCTCCTCCTCTGAGTGCGAACGTGAGCTCGTTAAACTGTTCGAAATTGTTGTTGGATGATACGAGTAAGACTTCGTCGGTCTTTGGAATTTTCCTCGTTTTTTATCTGAACTGAAAAATAATTTTACTTGTACATCATTTAATGAAAGAAAATTATGACCTGTTAATTTGTGTAGGATGGGTAAGCAGGATTAGAGACAACCAAATACATAAAAAAAACATAACTTAATAACTTAAGGAAATAAAATTAATAAAAAGTTTAATTAAACTGAAAAATAAATCAGCCAATAAAAGTTAAAGCCTACACAAATAAACGAATCTTCTCCTATAAGTAGTGTGTTTTTTTTTAATTTTATTAAAAATCAATATTTTATTTTGAAAAAAGGACAAAGCTACACAATTAATTTTAGAATTTTCATCGATCTATCTTTCCTGGAACATAAACGAAAAATTCTGGAGCAACAAAAACTCAGAGAGCTAAAAGAACAGCAAGATAAACAACAACAACGCCAACAGCAACTGCAGTTTCAGCCCCAGAAAACTGAATAATTTTAAAAACTCTAAAACCTCTTTAGAGAATACAAATACACGTACAAAAACCAAAACGAAATATTAAAATAACAAAACAAAAAACAAAACAAAAAAACAAAGACAAAATTTTCCAAAAAAAAAGAAATTTATAAAATGAAAAAGAGTTACTTATCCACTGACAACAGAGCAGCAAAAGCCTTTCCCCTAACTAAAGTTTCATTACTAAACGAAAAGAGGACGACTTAACATTTGACTGCCCTGTGGACGATCAAAAATGTGGGTGCTGAACTGACAAGACTTCATTCGACACAATTGAAAATTATCAATTGGCCTGTGATATATGTAGTTAAAATTATTTATTTAAAAACATTAGTTCGTAGATTTTGCTATGTAGTATTAAAATACTCATAGTAAAAAGTTGAAAAAAAAATCGAAATTTTTAGTTACAAAAAATATCCATACTGACCCCCTTAGCCCACCCCATTTAAACCGTCCACAAATTCAATTACATACATATGTACATATGCCGTTGATCCATTATTCCGTCTCATTAAAATAATCGGGCGATTTTTTTTTTCGCGAATGTATAAAACTGCTTTGCAGCGCAGAGAGCAAAAGAGCAAAGCTTAAGCACTCACTTAAGGTTTACTGGAAGATAATAATAATTTTGGTTAACTAACTAATTTTTTGCTGCTTTCGGGATGAGATCTAACATACATATTTACATAGTACCTAGTACTTAAGAGTTGCTGCTGCATACAGTTCACCTGCTCGCCCCCACATACATATGTACATTCTCCTATTCCTATACATACTTACATAAATAAATGCATCCCAGTGGGAAAATTAGTAATGCATTACATGCGTGATAAATAATGTAATGTCTTTCTTATGAGTTTTAGATTCTATTCCAAAAAGTCCCACAAAATTCATATTAATCATAGATAATGCCAAATTGCATGCCCTACTTTTTTTTAGGACATCGCCGTGGCAAAGAAATGCATTTTCGAATGTAAAAACAGTGGGCCTTATGCATAAAAAGTGAGCTTAAGCTCAGACTCAATTTTTGCACTGAAAGGGTGAGCTCAAGCTCAAGAATTTGTACTGAAAATCGAGTCGGAGCTTAAGCTCACTTTTTATGCATGAGGCCCAGTGATTTTACTGATATTTTTTCGATTGCCACAGACACATTACATTTTCCCACTGGGATACTATGCCCTTACGTAATTGCATCAGAAGTTACATACATACATACATACATAATTGCTCAACATACTTACACACATACATACATCATATAACCATTAACTAAGATCATTTACATAACATATGTACCAACATACATACATACATACATACATACATACATACATACATATGTAAAGACAAATTATTAATCTGTTTGCTAAATTATAAATGACTATTAATTCTAACGTATTGTGCACATCCTGTTTTTTTCTTTCTCTCTCTCACACAAACACATACACAAAAAAATTCTCTTCGCAACTGCAATGCCAAATAAAAAAATAAAAAAAATTAAAAACCAAATAATTATAATTAAACACTTACATTTACGAAATCCAAATCAAATATCTTATAAATCTAAATGCGAATTGAATTCGTTTACACCAAATATAATTATTTTAACAAAACATTAATGAAACCCAAAACCTCTTGAAAAATTACCAAAAAAAAAAAAACAAACAAAAAACACAAAAACAACGCTACTATATCAAATTTAACCGTGTCGAAATTTTCGTCGAATGATGGCAATTAAAATCACTACCAATCGTCAAAACCCGATCAACCGTGTCGTCGGCCGCCCATCCGCCCATCCGTCAATACGTCGATATCGATACTGTGGCGTGGCTATGCTCTCAACTCGATCGAAATCAAATTGATCGCGTATATGTATGAATATATATATTAATGCATGCGTCTCGATTACAAATACATACTCCAACACAATGCAATGGAATGACGAAAATTGCCAAATGATAACGACAACAACAACAACAAAACTACACATTAAATACTGCAAAACATCGACAATGAGCAGTTATAAGAAGACTCTTCACTTTGACCCATCGAAGAGCGAGACCTACAGAGCCATACAGGAGGAGGGTGGTTATGGAAATGGCTATGCCCCACAGGAGGTGACAGTGCCGGTCCAGCCAAAGGTCTTCCAACCAAACCGATTGGTTCCAGGAAAGGTAAGGTCGAAACGACAAGCTGCTTGCGATCATCGTCCACCGTTCACCGATCATCATCGATCATCATCGAGCATCGTCCATTGATACACCGCCATCACACTAGCACTTTATAGCATGAACTTGATCGGCCAAAAAAATAAAAGGCAAAATATCAAAAAAAAAGCAAAGAACAAAAAACTGTCGCCTACCTTTTTGTGCATCTCCTATCAAAATTATATTTGTGTAACATTGCAGTCATCCATCGCTGACGGAATGTTCAGCAAATGTTTTAGGAAAGAAAGTTTTAATATCACCGAATTTCATTTTCTTTTAATTTATCTATGTACTTAACTTCTTACGTAAATTTATTAGCTCACATACACATTATTACCTAAATGTAAATATATGTATAAGTTCTTTGCGCTTTCGTATCACCGTTGTCCGTTGTCATAGAAAGAGAATATCCGCTGCATGTGTCCTTGTTGTGTAACGCATTTTTGAACGCTCTCTCGCTCGCAGGCTCAAACCGCTGCAACTCTGGTATGATGATCTCACTCACTTTCCACCCATATTTGACTCTTTGATCATAAACCTATTAAGTTGTATTTAATTTTTTGTAACACTTTTTTTTTAATTTCGTAAAATTCGATAGTGTTATTGTTCCATATGTGATTTCGTATTTGGACCCAAAATATTTTGTATGTATGTGTGAAATTTGTACAAAAAAAAACAAAAAAAATGTATTTTTGTAACTTTTAACATAAAGTGCATTGGAAAACTAAAAATGCGGCTGCCTTTAAAAAAGATAACTCATTTCATTAGATTGGCTCTCATCTCTGTACACAACGCGAACTGTATTCAAATGAGGCAAATTTTTTTTTAGCATAAATCAATTCGCAGGATTTTCTCAAATAAATGCAAATATTTTTTTCTTCGTTATTATATTCTTTAACTAGAAAACTTCTGTTGTGCTGTACGATCCAACCTTTTTTGCCTTTTTTGAAGACGGTGCGCGATATGTACGAGTATGCACATATATATCTGTGATCATGAATTGCTTCATTTGAAGTAGTGATTTGATCAAATGTATTTTTATTTTTAATTTTTATTTTTTTTTTAATTAACCCATAACATTTATAAGTAACAATTCGAATGTTTTTTTTTTTGTATGATCTCATCTTTTGATACGCATATGTGTACATATGTACATACATATGTGTGCGAGTGTAATATATGCAGATAAATAACTATTTAAGACTTTATTAAAACTAACTTTTTAATGGATTTTCAGAAACCCAGCTCAGCAGCGCCCGTTTCCTACCCGACGTACAATGTAAGTAAAGTACCTACCTAATTTTTTTTATGTATACACAATAATTTGTATAGAAACATGTGTAAATACTTTGATATGCATATAACCTCCCTGAAGTAGATCAGTCTAAGAAAAATATTAAATAATGCAGAGTCTTGCTTTTGCATGTACATAGGCATCGATAGGCCTCAGAAGACACAGATCACCAAAGCTAAGCATTCTTGTTCCTCTTATTCCATAACCCTGAGAATGGGCGGATGCCTAAGCAGGAAACTCGTTGGAGTTTGTTGAGCACGGCCTGCGTGAAATCCAGTCCTGTTTTCTTCTACCAAGCGGGCATTTCGTACATCCAATTTGCCAACTTAGGTTTTTTGTAGCAGTTCCCCGCCATTAGCTTTCGGCAGGTTCAAATAGAAGCGCTGACCTTTTCAATAGTTTATCTAGGTGCGGATCCTATGACAGCTTATAATCAAGTATAATTCCCAGGTGCTTGACTGCTTTAGATAAGTGTGTCTCTTCTCATTTAAGAAATTTTGCTAAATGCTTGTCCCTTTTCATTTGACTTGAGGAAGTAGCTATGCTAGTCTTCTTAGGGCTAACGTTAAACCAGTTTTGAGGAGGTTCCTTATATTTGGAGGAGGGGGAGTTTCCTAACATTTCAACAGCAGTTGAGCCAGTAGTAATAGCTGTAGTAATGCCGAAAGTTAAACAATACTCGTATAAAATGGAATTGAGAAAAATAAATATAACGATAACGATTACCGTTAACGTTGGCAAAGTTTTTCAAAAGTATCGATATTAACAAAGGTTACCATTAATGCAAGAATGCAACCCTGAATATATATAATCCGTTGTATTGCTGGGATATTATAATTATGCTTAAACATTACCTTACTATTTATATATGTATGTACATAGCTTGACTCAATAATGGAATCACTAATTTTGTACATAAATATCCTCACTCTCTGCATCCTCAGGTGGTAAATACACAAGATGACACCATCCGTCAGAGTTCATCTTTCAACCGCTTGATGTACAGTGTATTGGGCGCGTCAGAATATTAAGGTTTCTCTATTCGAGAGCCCATCGATGTCACCTAAAAAAAGAGAACAACAATCAAAACAACAACTTAAATAGCGATAGCCTTAAATAAACAAAATGAAAATGTTAAACATTTAGCGGATGTTTAATTAAAGAAACTGCAGTACATATATTTAATATTATAACATACATACATATGTATGTACTTAACTATGTATTATCATACAAAAATAAATTACATATCTAACATTATCAAATACGAAAGGAAGTTTAGCAAGGTTCTATCAATTCAGAAAAAAAGAAAATACTTAGTTTTATAAATGATACATACGAAGCATAAATAGTTACATACTTACACTTGGCAAAATTGTGCACAAATTCATAAGCTTATTAGTAACAAATAACTGTAATAAGTTTATTAGTCGATTCAAAATTATTTGAAAATAAAAAGAAATAAAATAAATCAGGAAAAAAAAACTTAAAATCGGTTTCCCCTTTAATAATGTCCAATATTGAAAAAAAAAAACAAAAACTAACTTTAATTAATATTGTATTTTACTATCATTAAGAAAGGTAAAATTCACAAAAAATGAGTGTGCTTCTAGTCAAAAGGAATGGGGAATTCATGTAGTGCCTATTTAGTCGTCTTTCCAAGGAGCCAAACATGAATTTCATCCATTTCAAAGCGATTTGCAAAAACTGAACTTAACCTTAATTTATGAAATTATTTATAAATTACAAAGCTAATGAAATAAAATTTTATCATTGGACGGGAGAAATTCCAAAGCGTTGTTTTCCTAAAAGTGAGTTATCTAAAAGCAGCATGGCATAATTGATCTGATTAAAATAAAGATTTAGCTTGAAAAAAAATTAAGGAAAATTAATTAAAGTAAAATTAAATGAAGTGAAAAAATTTCGAAATTATTGAAAATATATAAGTGAAAACGGACAACTGATTTCTGAAAAAGCAATTACGCACGTTCATAGCAAAATATCCAACTAACCCAAATCAAAAAAAAAAAAAAAATTTTTGATAAAAATACATATTTGCAGTCATGGAATGAACATGGTGTGGAAACTGGTTACCTCTCTTTATATGCGTAAATTTAAACACAAAATTTTCAGAGCAAATTTTAAATATTTCATAAGTAAAATGTGAAATTGTGAGCAATAAATGTTTAGAATTCAACAAAAAAAATTGAAATTTGTTCTACGCTGCGCATACATATGATAAGTAAAAGTAAACAAATAGTGTTTAATTGAACTAACACGGTGTGTAAATTTGCGTTCATTAAGAGAGAAAACCTAATATGCGCAAATTTAAATAAACATTTTTTAGAGTGTAGCTAAAGGAAAGCCGTCTGGTGTGTACATAAAATAAATAATATGCAATAAAAAATGGAATTGGAGGAAGGTGTACACAAAGATATTTATGACTCGCGAATCTATTAATCAGACTCAGCAATCAGCCAAAAGTGGACGCTTCTATGGACGAAATTCGTTTGCGAACAGGACAAAAGCCCTGCTTGCCTTAGCCCAGTTTTAATTGTATAAAATGTAAGTGGATAAGTATACATATGATTTCGTTTTGTCAGTTTCAAATGCAAGAAATGGGAACTGCTTTAGAAATAAAATAAATGTGTTTGTTAAATTTTCCTCAAAACTCATAAAATTTAGTACTTAGAGCCAAAAGAGTTTCGTAGCAGGTGAATGTCACATTGAGAAACTCTTCATTACCCTCCAAAAAAAAAAAAAAAAAAGCAAAAACGAGAAGGGTACACCTAATTCCATCAAAATATAATTTTTAAGTATTTTTCATTATTTTTTTTTCAAAAACTACTTGACGTTATTTCAGATTTATGTTTTTCAGGTTCAAACCAGCATATACTCTTTGATAATTCCTACTGGGTCTTCACCAAAATTCAACGTTGAATTGTTTATAAATAGTTACTTGCTACGAGAAGTAAAAGAGGCAAAAGAAATTAGTACTCAATAGACATACATACCTTTGCACATACATACATACATACATACTACATACATACATATGAATGCATATTTGAATATGTGTGCGGCGCGCATGTAGCCATCACTTCATGACGGGAACTTTTACGACCGCCACTTGTATAATGAGCCGTCCGTGGCTATTTCATGCAAAAAAAAAAAAAGTAAAATTGCTGATTACTCAAGCAAAGCTTCAAACAATAATCTTTCGATTTGCAACAATCAAATGAAAAAATGCAATGAAATTTATTTTGAGCACAGCTTGAACTTTTTAGTAGTTAAAAAGTAAACCGAGGTGAAAACTATAAAGAAAGCGAATTTTAAAATTAAGTTAAATAATTAGAAATATGTATGTATGTATGTGCGTAGTTGAGGCTAGGAAGCTGAATATAAAAATATATACTCTACATATATGTAGGTATACAAAAATCGACAAAGACACAAAAAATAAAAAGGTATAGTGCCCTGCACGCAGCACGCAGCACGCCAATAAGTCACGGTTACGATTAGGTAACAGCAAACATACGTATTTACATATGTATGTATGTATGTATGTATGTATATCGTTGGCGCTGCACACCCGCACAGGCTACGCAATTATAGAAGAAAAATCACGTACATAGTATTTATTGTACACATACATACATATGTAGATACGAGTACATATTGAATACAGGTTATGTCCAATAAGTAGCTAACTTATAGCATTGCGAACACAGTTGGAGAGCTAATTAGCAAAATTTTGATATTCGAATTTGTTTGAACGCAGCTCTGGAGATTTAAATGACCTACAAATTTACATACAAAGATGCATAAATTGTGTATGTGTCCTGCTTCATACATACATACAATTCAATCATACTGCATCCCATTGGGAGTGGCGCTGAATGATAAAAGAAAGGTCGACCACAGGAGTATTTACATTTCTACTATGTATATTTATATAAGGGTGCCTCACCAAAAAATTTTCGCGTTTTTCACCCCAATTATATATGGGTGGTTCACAAGTTGTCGTACGTGTCGTATTGTCGTATGTTGTAAAGTTTTTAACAGCTAAATAAATATTTACGGGACTTGAAATCACCACCAACTATTTTTTTAACGGTGTGAAATTTCATAATAAAACTTTCCTGTTAGCTTGCGAATTCCTTAAATATAGTTTCACCCGTTTAAAGTTTATGACATACAACAGTACGACAGTATAAAACACCTTGTGAACTCCCTAAATGTCTTTTATATTTTAAGACCTCAGCTAAAATATTTCGAAGAAATATTAAGATTTACGTGAGCTGAACCGATTTTAAAATAGCTCAAAAATTTCATTATTTTGATTCTGTTTAAACGTTTTTTAAACATTTTTGTGCAGACGTTTAAGCTTATGGTGATTTCGTTTCTTCCACAAAATGTTGTCCTACCACGGTGCGAAATGTGTTTGACGTTACACTCAACGCTGTAAAAATGCATGTTTTTGTCCTCTTGTCCTTATCTGGCTCAGGCATTTCATAATATTGTCGTTTTAAGTAGCCATCTGGTTTTCAGTGCAACCTTCTCCCCTGACAAAGCTTCAAAGGGCCTTTTTTGCCTTACAAGAGTGTGAAATTTTAAGAAACAAACACAAAATGTCTTATCCGTGTGCTTTTATTTTAGAATCGAACATGAGAAGAGAAGGGGGCAATCAAAGGGCAAAATTTTTGGTAGAAACGAGAACACCATTAAACTCTTGGAAACAAATTTTTTATTTTTATTTGCAAATCGGTCCAGCTGACGTAAAGCTTAATATTTTTCAGAAATATTTGGCGGAAGTCCTAAAGTACAACCGATTTTTTGTTTGTTTAGAGAGTGATGCACCTAATGGGTGTACATTAGGGTGGTCCAAAATAAGTAAAGTCGGAATTTTAATGCGCTCACCCCTTAGAAAAAATATACGCATTTGTTATTTTGAAATCAAAAAATATTTAGAGGTCGCTCTAAGTGCTCAAAGTTTTCCATGGTTTCATAGAAACGTTAGAGAATTCATGAAAATCAATATTTTTCGATCGGAAAACTGTGGTTCTCTTCAGGAGACTTCCAATAACCAACTCAATTGTTTATTTAACCAGTTTTTAATACCAAAGTTTTCTATTCGAAAAATATTGATTTTCAAGAATTCTATACCATTTCTAGCAAAAGTCGTTTTTTCCCCATATAAAATACATAGTAAACTTTGAGCGCTTTTGGCGACCTCTAAATATTTTTTGTTTTCAAAATAAAAAACTGGTGGTATTTTTTTTCGGTATAGAACAATCCTAGGGGTGAGAACATAAAAGATCCAACTTTATTTGTTCTCATGCATTTTTGGACCACCCTAGTGTACATATATTATTACATGTACATACATACATATTAATTGAGGTGTATCGAATATGCTAATTTTGAAGGACAAACATATTCCAGCTCTATTCGGTTTCAATCCAATTCCAACAATGGAAACAAATAAATCATTGAAGCCACCAACACCAACATTCATAAAAGCCTTGCGAAATTATTTTTGATAGTTTTAAGTACAATGGAAAATAAGTAAAATAAATACATACAAATATTTGAAAGTATGAACACAACGGCATTTCATAATTACCAAATATAATCGGGTTCGATTCCAATTAGGCACTTGGCCCCACCCTTGTAAATCATTTAACCCACATTCCCCTCAACTCTCCTCCACACTCTAACATTTGCACAAGTCGAGAGTTAGGGTCGTGCGTACATATTGTTGTCCGGGGTCTTTGTACGTCTCGACGCGGCTTCAGCTACGGGCGACGGCCAGAGTGGCTCCTTCTGTACGTCTAACCGATCTCAACCTCTACTATTTCCTCAATTTAACGATTATTGCTGCTGCGACGGTGCAGTAGGGCGTTCGCTAAATGCTTTGCGTAGAGCTACTCCCTCTCTGCATTGAAAAATGGACAGCTAATCAGTACATGCTCCGCGTCTCCGGGGAAGTTGGGACCACAAGTCTCGCAATGGCCGTAGTGCTTGTCGTTAAAATGCTGCTAGTCTACCTCCCTGTGCGCCCTACTCAGCTAGGTATCGATATTAGGGATGAGCCGATGTGTCCACCGGCCATTGGTAGCTGTGTCCCATCAGTCCTGCCATTCGGATTGAGTGCGCCTTTTCGCAAGCGTTTGTGTGTGCGATGCTTTGGAGCAGTCAGGAACAGTGAAATAGGCTTCCTTCGCCAGTAAATCAATGGGGTACAGACCTGGCAGCACAATGTTA